AATAATATTATTCAGTTCAATGTGACTATTGTGTGTACTATTTTAAGATATGTAAACATTAACTTGGAAGAAAATAGTGAAATGAGAACTACTTATTTAAGTCAAATAATAAAATTGTTTTTCTAAATGTTACATTTATTTTGTAATATAGTTTTTTGTTTTTCACCTGAGTGATTCTGATGTAGAAAAAAAAAATCAATAATGCTCATTAAAAAGCTTTTCAAAGATTGTTATACAATGGTTATTATTTCAATTAATAAGAATGTCAATAATGCTCATTAAAAAGCTTTTCAGAGATTTTTATACAATGGTTATTATTTCAATTCTGAATTAATTTGTCCTATTGGAAAAGAGTACCTCTATTGTACATAAATTCCCCACTGTGTAGGAATAACTACAAATAAGAAAATCACCTCACATAGTTTTCATTTATACTGTTAATGAATTTCTTTGTTTTGTTTTTTATGCCCTGGTTTGGGGTAGAAGTCCAAAATGTATGAGAAATAAAGTTTTCAAACAAAATGTTCACATTACTTTTAACCTGATCCACTGATTTATAATTAAAGTATATACCGAAGTATTTGTTTTATGAGAAATTTGTGTGTATTACAACTGTAGTTACATGAAAGTACAGCTGTAACTTGTTTTAGCAAACCACTATAAAACCTAGTCACTATAATTCTTGTTATGTATTACAACAGTGCAAATAAGCTAATATTACAGTTTATTTTAAATATTAAAGTTTTATATATGCTGGTGTGTGGAGAGTTTCTCAGGCAAATGTATTTCATTTGAGAAAAGAGTGAAATGTCAATTTCAAAATTTTATTTTACACATAAAGATAATTTCATTCAGCTTGGACTGTACATATTATTACTGCACGGTATATATTTTAGTCCCCTATACTGTAATATTCTATTATTTAGTGATGTGAAACATAATTTGGTATTCAAAACATATTTACAGACATTATAGACCAGAGGAGACTGGAATAGTTTATTTTTCAGATGTTTAGTGTCAATTTTACAAATATATTTTAATTATTACTTATATCTATTTTTATATTTATCTTATGGTTTTGCGATTTCTGATACATATATCTGTGAAAATTAAACTATTTTCATTCGTTTTTTGTTTTGTTTATTCCCCAGATTATTTATTACATGGTGCCGTGAGCATTTAGTCGATTGGACTCCGTCGTGGCCGATTTTACATGGTATACGAGAACTCGGAAAGTTTCATGGAAAACACGGTAAAATGTTGAGTGGGCCGGGGTCTATTGGGAGGGGGCTGTAACTCAGGGGGGAGTGTCCGCTTTCTTAAACTTAATTCGGTTGCGTCTTTAAAACGCATTGGTAAAAAAAAAAAAAAAAAAAAAAAACAGACACGCAGACAAAC